ACGACTCGACAGCACATAACAACAACAACAACAACAACAACTCTTTTCTAACCAGTTACTGTTAACTCCCCCAGTGCAACAGTGAATGGGGACAAAGGTTTTGCAGTAACGGAGTTTTCCCAAAATCACCAGGCCTTCCTTGCGAGGCTCCTCAGCCTCCAACATTTCCATTAGCAGCAGCTGGGCTTGCACCACTAATCTACTACTCTCACATGCTGTGTGCCTTCAAGTCAGAAACTCCCAGTAACTAACCCCACAGGACAAAAGAGAACGCCCCTAAGGCTGTTTTAGGCTGTAAATCTCTCAGGAAGCAGATCAGATTGGATTGTTAGGCCTTGTCTCCTGCAAAGCAGCTGGTGGGTTTGAACCAAAGATCTTCCTGTCAGCAGCAGAATGTTTAACCACTGCACTACCAGGGCTCTTTACTCTTCCCAACTACCCATTATTTCCATACCACCACAGGCCTTTAGCCTCTTCCCAGAAATAGACCATGGGGGACTTAATATTCTCTGCCTTTACTTTCTCATCCTCAGAGACCCATTCCCTCCATTCCCATCTCCAACATGCAGGCAGAAATATCATCAGTACAGTATCTGTTGCTGAAAAGAGCCAAACAGAGGTCTTTCTAGGTGGAAAGCAGAAGTAACAGAGCAAGAGAACAAAGCCAAACACTTGACCAAACCAAAAAGAACCGTGTTCTGTGAGCCAACTACAACAAAGATTTGCCCCAGCATAACACATCAAGAGTTCAAATCCTGCCTTGCTCCTAAGTAACACTAAGCAAGTTAACGTTGCTCTTTATGGATTTCATGTCTCCTTTTTCTTTTTAGTCCTTATTGTTGAGGATTAAATGAAAATCTAGGAATACACACACACACACACACACACATACACGTTGTTGTAGATTGCCTTCAAGTTGAGCACAACTCATAGTGACCCTATGGACAAAATGCCTGAAGCCTTTCTATAACTCATTCTTTCTCCAAGTTCACAGTTTCCAGAAGCATGTGATTTAGGAAGTGGATCCCACTCCTGCTTCCAAACCTGTCTTAAACTGAGAACTCCACCAAACACTGTCTACCATGGACAGCCATTATGGCATCTGACTCCCCAGTGGCACAAGGTTCAGCAACACAGCAACCCCAGATTACCTCAGTGCAGCAAATTGACAGGAGTGTTGTATAATTCAGTAGAATGTTCCTCCAAAATATAGTAACAAGGGATTAAAATATAATCCCTCAGGCTCAAGTTTTACATATAAGGGCCTTCCAGGAGATTTTGTTGACTCTAAACAAGAGGTTTAGATAAAAAACAACCACACAATCCACACAGATCCTTCATCAAAACAAGAGCGCCATATTAGAGTCCAGCTGCTTCACCCAACTCCAAAATGGAGACAAGGGCCTGGCCCTTGCCATATATATATATGAATAAATAAATAAAGGACCTGGTTTACTGTTGGAATAGAGACTGTGGCCCTCAGACAACCATCAGGCCTGGACTTGAACCCATCCTTATGGCTGAACTTGGAGCCAGATAGCACTGGGCTCAGTTCCAAGCACTCTAAGGCCAGGCCTCCTCTCCGCATCTGTCCTTCTGAGCCTGAGACAGGAGGCACAGTCTGGCTCCCCAACCAGGACACACTTCTGCCGACCTGTCTGGGCCGCCTGGCTGTTGTGAGTGCCCTGGAGTTGATTCCAGCCCTCAGGTGCAAAGTGGAACTCTTCTTAGGATTTTCCAAGCCGCAACTTGTGGAAAGCAGATCAGCAGCCCTTTCCTCCAAATAAAAAAGTCTATGATGTGCCCAGTACAGCCTAGCACAAAGGAGCGCAACCAGTGCTAATCAAGACAATAAAACAGAATCATTACGATTCCCTGGTGTGCTTTCCCTAGGACTTCAGTGTCCTCTGCTTGTCTCACTGTTTCCCTTGTAAGCACAGTGACTCCCACCCCCCAGCACAGAGCTTACTTCCTCTAACATGTAGCAGAGGCTGAAGGGGAAAAGGAGGCATGCAGGCTAGTGGAAGAAAGCAGACACCAGTTCAGATACTTTCACTGTCAGCTTTATGGTCCAGAATGTGGAGCAGAAAAGTGGATACACCTCGGAAGCATTCCCAGGGCCCTGAAAGGTAAGCTCTGCCCAGCCAAGTCCTGCCCTCTGGCGAGGCCAAGAAGAAAGGTGGGGTACTTCATCCTGTCACCCAGCAAAAGTGTCCCCAACCCTATGCTGTCCCCTGACAACAGCCAGAACAGGCCTAGCATCATCTCACGTTTCCAAGAAGTTATTTTTTGGGGCCAAGCACAAACTCTTTGGGTGGCCCTCCACCCCCGTTGCTGTGTCTGTCCGCAGTAGGAGAGCTGGGCAGGGGCTGCCCTCCAAGAAGGGGGCTGGCCTCTGGGTCTGGTTTGCTGCGCTTGGCCAGGTCCTCATTGTGGGCCTTGCGGATGTGGCGGTAGAGGTCCCCTGACTGCGTGTACCTGCGCAGGCAGTAGCGACATTCGTAGGGTCGCTCGCGGGTGTGCACCGTGGCGTGTCGCCGCAGTGTGTAAGAGCATGAGAAGGTCTTACCACACGTCTTACAGGTGGGGACATCTTCCGTAAAAACCCCAAAGCTTCCAGGTGCTGCATCATACTCGGAAGGCATGTAAAGTGGTTCTTGCAGAGCAGGGGGTGCGGGCAGAGGTGAGGTCACCAGACCTCGAGGATACTGCCCTGGGCCTGGCAACAGATGGTAGGGGAGATGAAGATCTGGGGGTGAGAACTGGTCACTTGGCCCCACCTCCTCCAGGCCTGCTGGCCCTGGCTCCTCAAAAGCCTCTGGCTGGGGAGGCCGCCCCCCAAACACTGCTCCTGCAGGCGGGAACAGTTCCCCAGGACCCTGAGGCGGCTGTTCCTCTGACACATCTGGCTCCTCATCGGAGATCACAATAGCTTCTACTTTCACTTGGACCAACTCCGCTTCAGCTGGGGCTGCAGCCTGCGGCAGATCTGGGGCTGGAGCTGGCACCGGGGGATAGAAACCTTGCAGTGGCCCTGCGGGACCTCTGGACTCTACCACCCTTAGGCCCTCGGGCCCCACGTCAAGGGGAGTCATGGGTTCCGCTGCAACAGCTGAGAGGCCAGGAGAGAAGTAGCTGGCAGGAATGGTTTCTGTGGAGCTACTGGGGCTGGCAAGAGCTACATCAGTCACAGGTGGAGGCGGCGCCTGGAGATGCGGCGAATCGACTTCCATGCCAGGCTGTGTCGTGTCAGCTCCACCTGGCACTGGTGGCTCATCTGGAGGACAGGCAGCAGGTGAGGGAGCCGCAGGACCTTTCCAGTCTCCTTTGCCCCAGGAGCCCGATGTCTCTGCAGAAGCCAATGAAGGCTGCAGGCCATGGGAGGTGTTGGACAAAAACTCCAAGTTAGGGGGATGCGGATTGGTCTCCTCCTCCTTCTTGGTGCTATCTGCCTCTGCCAGCGCTCGGGCTTGCAGGCGGCGCTTACACACCTTGACGATGTCATTCATATGTAAGTAGCTGGCTGCTGCCAGCACATCCTCCACTGGGGTATCGCCCCACAGGGCCAGCTGGCCGGCGTACATAAAGTCCAAAAGCAGCCCAAAAGCTGGTGCTGTGACAATCTCGTTATGGATACACACCAGGTCCCTCTTGTCCAGTTCTCGCTCTTTGTAGAAAAGTTGGAAGAAGGGGCTGCAGGAAGCCAGCACAGCCCGATGGGCCAAGAACTGGGTGCTACCCACCATCACGGTACAGTCACAAAGAAAACCCTGGGAACGCTGCTCCCGGAGGCTCTGGAGCAACTGCTGGCTGTGCTCCGGGAACTCCATAGCATCCCGGGAAGGGACCTTTCAGGACCCCACCAGTGGCTACCTGGGGAGAGAGAATAGTTGGGTTAGGCCAGACAACCTCCCTAGCAACCTTAACGTCAGCCCTGAACTATCCCATGCCACGCCAAGCCCTCTGGCAACACCTTTCGGTTTCCAAGAGGGTCGCTGAAGTTACTACTCTTCTTTCTCCTAGGTCACCCAAGTGGTCTCTTGTTAGCCCCGCCCCCCGGCCCTAACCTTAGTGAGTTGCTCCGCCCCCCTCAGAGAAAGCTCCGCCCCCGGAAGTACCACCCCCCGAGCAGCCTCGGCTTCCTCGATGCCCACCTGGTGGTTTCCAGCGGCTTCTCCAACAAGGGATCTCTTTCGCTCCCAGGCCTTTTCCGGGGGTGCGTCTGCGCCCAGCCCCGGAAACTTCCTGAGCCTCTCCCTCTCGCATTCCAAGGACTCAGGAGTCCTAGGGTTGGAACTAGCAGAGAAAGCTGAGCCCTCACCCACCACCGCGCACCCACCCGGCGAACTCCTCCCACCCCACCTCCTCAGTTTCAATTGGTTTAAGCTCGCTCTCTCGTTTCAGGGATTGGTCCGTTGCCTGCTAGCCCGCCTCCTCGTCCTGACTGGCGTTCCCAAGAGCGTGTTCGAGGCCAGCGTTCCGGAAACTAGACGTCGGATTGGGCAGTGGTGCTGTCCAAAACTTTTCCTCTTCGTCCCTCCTTCTTCGCCTCACGGTTCCACAGGATTGGTTGAATTTTACCATCTGCCTAAAGACGCCAGAGGGCAGCGACCCATCTCCCAGCCACGGTGCAGAACGTGTTTTTGGCCTCTCCGCTGCGTCCGCCTGCTCGCCGGACGTCGTGCCCCCCAAAAGGGCTCGTGGCTCCTACAGAAGGCGGCCCGGAAAAATGAGATGATCTAAGAAACCTATGTGGGCTGGAGGACGCCAGGGTTCTAGACCCCCCCAGTCGTATTCAACAGGCACAACTATGGCTGTCTTATCAAAGTCTTTTTCAGCACTGCTCTTCGTTTTCATTCCTAGCACAATAAATATTGTCTGACTTGGAGGAATGGACAGAGTATATTAAAGCTGAGGCTTCCGTGGCCTCTGTGTGTTTAGTACACACTAAGTGCTGTCAAGTATGATCCTTATGGAGAGCAGATCGAACCTTGTCCTGTCCTGCACCTCCTCACAATCTGATATACTCGAGCCCATTGTTCCATCTGGTTGAGGGGTTTCCTCTCTTTTCAACTCCTCTCTTTTTCCATGCATGATGCACTTTTCCAAGGAATAGCCTCTCCTAGCTTTGAGATGAAGCTTTATTATCTTTGTCTCCAAGGACCACTCTGGTTGCACTTTTTTCCAAGACATACCTGTTCTTTTGGCAGTTCACGGAATAATTCAGTACTCTTATCCAACACTGCAACTCAAAGGTGTTAGAAAAGGAGCTCAGGGCGAAAGAGAGAAAGAAACTGGTGCCAAGAGACGATCAGGCCTTTATTGTATGGACTGAATGGGATGCCAAATGACCAGGAGCAGAGAAAGTCAGAATGGCGTGCCTGCAGTTAGGGGTAGTCTTTTTTTATAGGGGTCTTGGGGAGGGTTAGGGAAGATGGTACCTCTTGGAATCTGGGGCTGTTCATTAACGCAGGTCAGGGCTTCCTGATCAGGCCCTGAGCCTTATGATTTATCGTTTGGTCTGGCCTTTGTCCTGGCTGCCCTTGAAACCATAAGGTTTTTCAGGGAGTGACTAGGTCCTGGAGCAACTGCTATATTTCTCCTCCAAAAGGCATCAATTCTTCTGTCATCCTTATTCATTGTCCAACTCACAGATGCATAGCAAATGACTGATAAGATCATAACTTGGATCAGGCACATCTCAGGGTTGTATCCTCTTTCCAAACCTATTTGGTCTGGATGCTGAGCAAATCATCCGAGAAACTGGATTCTATGAAGAGGAATGTGGCATCAAGATATGAAGAAGACACATCAATAACCTATGTTATTCAGAAGACACAATGTTGCCGACTGAGAGTAAAGTATTTTTTTACATATTAATAATGAGACAGAACACCAAGAATGTAGGAGAACAGAGGTAAAGCAGGAGGCGAACAATTCTTGAACAACTAAAGCAAATCGACTCACCGATTCTGGTTTTCCTGTGTCTATTGAAAATTGCCAGAGAGTGAATCACAAAGAGAATCCAATGCAAGTGAAACTAAGCTTTTTCTATTGAAAACCTTCTGCTTGACTCAGGAGGGAGGGTTAGCAAATACAACGCAAAAATCCTGTAAACACTTACAGATTGCCTTGGTGCTTCAGGGTGAATTCCAGCTGATACCAGCCTCACACATAACCTGAAGTAGCATTCTGTTTACTACAAATATTTAATATGAAACTTGGCTTCTCATAACACAGGCTTGTTGAAAGTGGGAAGGACTTGGAGTGCTTGCTGCAGAAAAAAAATACAGCCTTCAATATGGGTTGCATTTAAACATCAAGAAAAGGGCACAAAGATGGAAAGTAGGAAATGAATTGCCCCAAATTATGGGAACATGGCTACAAAACCAGGTGGAGATGCTGCTTAAGTTGGGTGAAGGGGCAAGAGCCTGGACACTGAGTCTTCCATAACCCTGTCACTTAAACTGCTCTGGTCAGAAAAGCAGCAGCAGTCTGTGCAATACCACCCAAAATGATTCAATGTGATCCCTGTCACATAACCAGCACCATTTTTTGCAAAAACAGAAAAACTCATCCTAAAAGTCACATCTCCTGATTTAAATTTATTTTAAAACAGCAGTAATCAAAACAGTGTGGCACGGATGGACATATAAGACCAGCAATCTAATAAAGAATCCAGACAAACCCTTACATGTGTGGTCAGTTCATTTACAAGAGTGCCAAGATAGTTCAATAAGGAAAGCAGAATATTTCCAACAACTGGTGCTGGAGAAACCAGATGTACAGATGTAAAATAATGGAATTGGACCCTTTCTTTACGTGGTATGCATGAATAACAGCTGACATCGAGTTGAGTCAAGACCTGTGAACAGCTAATTTCAAAATATTCATTTAATGAATATCCCCACTTTCCCACTCCATTCTGACAACAGGCACCCACAAAGCACATTCTTTCCTTAATCCTAGCCATGCAGAGTTGAGTGTCCACAGTTAGGACTCTGTCCTTCCAGTCCCTGCCAAATAGGCAAACACTTCTGTTTGCTGTCACTGACCTCAGAAAGTCATTCTCTAATATGGCTCATAAAATTCACAGAATGTTACCTGAACTTAGAGTTGTCATGGATTGAATTGTAGTGCCCCAAAGTACATGTATATAATGATACAATGATTTGATCAAATAATTGTAGGAATATTAGGGGTAAAATGTAGCACTCTTTAACCCATTTCTGCCTTAAGGGGATGTAAGGGGAGTTCCCCTACAATGTGGTCAGTAGTATCTTTTATCACTAGAGATGAGAGGAAAACAATCAAAGGGGTGGTGGTGTTACTCTTCCTCATCTTCACCATCCCTCCACCTTTCCAAGCATGATGTCCTTCTCCAAGGTATAGCTTCTCCTAGCAGCATGCCCAAAGTACATGAGATGAAGTCTCATTACTTTTTTTCCTCCAAGGAGCACTCTGGCTACACCTTCTCTAAGAAATATCTATTCTTTTGGCAACACTCTTTTCAAGCACCACAGTTCAAAGGTATCAATTCTACATCTGTCATCCTTCTTCACTGTCCAGCTCTCAGATGCACAGCAAATGACTGAAATGACCATGGCCTGAATCAGGTGAAGATGCCTTGAAGCACTTGCTGCAGAAGGTTAAATACTGCAGCCTTCAATATGGATTGCATCTCAATGTCAAGAAAACAAAAATCCTCGCACTGTAGGCAACATCATGATAGATGGAGAAAAGATTGAAACTGTTAACAACTTCGTCCTACTTGGATTCACAATCAATACACTTGGTACCAGCAGTTAGGAGATCAGGAGACGTATTACACTGGGAAAGTCTGTAGTCAGGGACCTCTCCAAATTGTTGAGGAGCAATAATGTCAGTTTGATGTGCTCACTACTACCAAGGAATTGTTGCGAGGGGTGGAGTGCATCTTTTTAGACCCAGATCCTGCAATAACAAGTATCTTTTTTTTTTATAATTATATTTTATTAATTTTCATAAACATT